GAGAGAGGGAGGCAGGGAGAGAGAGAGAGAAACGACAACGGACGAGCTGGAGGGCTACGACATCGAAAAACTTCGCAGCAAACAAAAACACACCACGCCCACCCCCGTCGCTATACGCCAGAGGATCGAGCCGGGTCTCCATCAGCGACGTCTGCCAGAGTCACAGAAAGTCGACGCCGCCCAGGCGAGTAGACAAGTGACCCATGAATCACAGCTGATGTTCGGCCGGGGATGGTTCCCAGCATAGAACACGGCACGGCTCTGTGCCAAATGTACACTGTGGCCTACAACGTGCTTGAACACAGCTTGCAGGTACTTGCAGGTAGGCACACGAAGATTAAGTTGCTGCGGCCCCAAACCTTATCTGCTATCCGCACGCAACAAAGATGGAACGGATGGCACCCCAGTGCAGCATGTCCTGGCACTGCCGGCGCAATCGTCCAAAAACCCCGAGGATCATCCACGAAAAATGTCTCCTCACCTGGGCTAGTTGAACTTACAACGACGACGGTTGCACCCTCGTCGGGATGCCTAGGGCTATGGACTTTTGCAGAACTGCGCTGCCACGTGCCAGCCCATTCGATGCTGCCAGTTTGCCACACGAACACAGAAAGCGAATTCAGTGCTTAAGAACTTCGCCGAAATCGTTTCGAGTGTGCTCTTCGTGGACGTTGTGCTTGACAGAGATTTCGTCAGGGCCTCATCTGTGCTCTCGAGATTTTGAGACTTTGCTGTCTCTGGTCCGGGGTCTGAGCCAAAAACTTTCGCCATACTCGAAGTCCACGAGCAAGAACTCCACGGCCATGTCTATGGCAGTGGCAGCAGGAGGCCACCCTGGAAGGACCCAAAAAACGAAGCACTTTCGACGGCTCACGAAGGCTTGTGTCCTGGCCTTGTTGTGCCAAAGCATCCGCGAGACTGAGGTCGGGCTGTGAACCCTTGCCGGCCTCGAGCCGTCAGATGCGCTTTCAGATGCGCTTGACACATAACGCCGCGTGTGCCCGCGCCTCGCTGTCCTCCACCTTTCCAAAGCATGCTGAGCACTTCTGCACCCGCAGGGGGCCGCTGCGATTCTCCGAGTGCCAGACCGACTCCTGAGCGCTCTCCAAAACCTGCACTGAGCCACCCCAGCATGCGACAAAGACCACTGACTGCCTCCAGGGCCAACTCGGGCCTCCATCCGTTCGCCCGTCTCCTTCGTCACATCCTCGGAAGGCTCACACCGCATGCCACAAGCTTCACCTCGCCTTGATGATAGGAACTCAAGTGAACCGAACCATGCGCCGGGTGTCCACAGGCCCCTCGCTGCCTCTGAGCAAGCAGACCGTGGCGGCTTCATCGTCCTCTGTGTGGCCCTGTAAGTTGCACCTCGCAGCAGCCAGCTTGGGGCGAACTTGCATCGATAGGCTGTCTGTCTGGGAGCTAGTTGCAGCCAAACTGCTCTCGTGCCCGGGTCCATATTGGATTCTTTCCAAGCCCTTGAACCCAGTTGGCTCCTGGATAAAGAGGCGATAGAAATGCTGATGTTTCTTAACCGGCCGCACGGTGATCTTTGCCGGCATCCACTGTCCTTCTTCCAGCTTCCGGCCACAGAAATCCCTGCAACGAAGGCGACCTGCCAGCCATTTAAGTCTCAGTTCGGGCGGGGCTTCAAGCACCTATGGCCCAGACCGGAGCAGAACGGAAGAAGTTGGAACCTCCTAGGCGAGCAGAGGCTTCCAGCAGCACGCAGCGGCGTGCTGCAGCCAGATGCTCCTTGCAGGACAACGAAACTTGGCCCTCATCTCCCTAGCTAAGATACACATACGCGTACTAAAGCAGCGAGATCTGCTTGAAGGACCCGCGTAATCCAATAAAAAGCATGTCTACTTCCCTCGTTTTCATGCCCGTGGGCGCCAGAGCAGTTAAGCCGGCCAATCCGCCACCTGGCAGTGCGAGAAGGACTCGACTCTGTGGACCGCTCGCGTCTCTCCCTCGCCTATGATGCACACGTCGGCGACATCCGCCATGTCATCGCTCCAAGCAGAGTCGGCCATGGTGCAGGCGGCACATACATCCAGTTTACATCTAGCTATGTTAGGCTGTGGAGGATCGAAGCAGGCTACTAGTAGCACAAGAAGCGGCAACCCCTGCGTCTTGCGGTGAGCCACTTCTGGGATCAGCATCAGTACCAGCATCTGCGCGCTCGGACATGAAGGCATGATGTGAACCCAGCAGGCCAAGACATACGAGCGTAACTGGCGATTGCACACGAGGGCCCCCACGTTGCGTCTTTGCATAGGCCAAGAGGGAAGTGCCGGTCACCTTCGTCAGGCTGTCGATCATGGAGCCTCGCCAAAACGATGCCAGTCCAAGGTCCGAGGGTACTTACACTGGCCGTCGCTCTTCAAGCTCGCTGGTGGCACCTTGCACCTCCATCAACCACTTCTCCACGTTGCCCTTCCTGGTCAGTCGGTGATTTCCCGCCACCAGCCCCACTTGCAATTCTCCGATCCTGAAGGATCGGGAAAGGCTGAGGTCGCTGCTTCTCTCCTTCGACCACGTTCACGGGCTGGGCGAGTTCGACCACCTCACCCTCTACAGACCTGGGCCATGGAGGCAAAGATAGCTCAAGAGAAGAATGAAAGCTCGAAGCTCCCAGGAGTCAGACGACATGGCTTCGATGATCTCGTTTGTGTTGTTGAAGCGAACCCTGCTGATGCCTGGGCAAGTTCAAAAACTTGGATCTACCGGATCTGCAGGAATTGATGCCGACTGTCTCTTCAGCTGGGTTCTTGTTGAGGTTAAGGAACGGAAAAAGTTACTACAATAAGGGTCTATACTAAATACTGTGGTTTCCATACATATATATCTATATATTTATTTATTTATATTTATATTTATATTTATGGTAGCTTAAACTAGATTCTTAACAAGAACCCAATCAGGGGCTGCGACACGCAAACCGAGGTCTGAGGCTGCAAGAGCCATGTCCTGACGCTGGGCGACGAGCCTTCGAAGCACTTGCCCATGTGCGGCTGAACCTGGGTTAAGGGTTTAAGGGGGTTTAGGGGTTTAGGGGTTTACGGGTTTTGGGTTTAGGGTTTAAGGGGGTTTAGGGGCTTAGGGTTCAGGATTTAGGGTTCGGAAAGTCTTGCATCGATGTGCTGCACAACCATGATTTGTCTGGGAAAGAGGATGCACACGGAAGAGGTGCACGTACCATTTCTGGGTGCGGGGCCGCTGTCGGGTCCTTGGTCTGGGACAGGATCATGAGCAGCTCATCCTGCACGCAAAATGTGCAGGAGGCCAAAACCGTGCGGACTAGGGGCACCTTTTGAGGTGGAGCATGCTACAAGAAGCCGTAAAGCCAGTCACTCGAGAGGAAGAAGAAGCGCGGAAAGGCCAGGCGCTTTGTGTCCAGGTAGTCGTTTAGGCCTGTCAAAACTGCCCATGTCGGCCAAAGGAATCCAAGGCCATGGAAGACAAAACACGGCTTCTGGCCAGCAAAAACCCAGAAACACCCCACACTCGCTGCCAGTGCTTTTTGAACCACAAAAAGGGCGACTCTGGCACCCACATGTCAACAACCCTTCCCCCGTGAATGAGGCGGAAAGCTTAAGCCGCCCATGGTTTGGACTCATGGGAGTGGGGGCGGGCGGTTGAAGGCACTTGGTGGCTCGTTTTGGTCACGTGGGGGAAGAGCATGACCGAAGTCTTCATGACCCCGGGCTTAATTCCAGATGTATCATCTTGCTTGTGTTCGATAATGTCCCCAAGGGTAGGGCTAGTCTCATCAGCTGCTTCTTGCTAGTGATCAGGTTGGTGACAAGTCATCATCGTCTTGTTGACCGGTCATGAGTCATGCCCCAAGAGACGATGAGTTAGCCAATCTCGGATTCCAATCTTGGCCGCAAGTATCGATGTTCCATAGCACAAAAAGCACAGGGATGCAAAGGCAATCTTCATGTGATTGCCGAGAAATAAATTTTGCAAGGGCCAGCAACCGAGACTGCTTCGGATGAGCACGCAACTGCTTGCTTTCGATGCTGGGTTAACTCATCCATGAACGCCCGCATTTCGAAGCCTTTGAAATGACTGATACCATCCTTGCGGGGAGGCCGAGCCGAAATCTCTCGAAATCATCAATGCGACCGTGCTGATGTACTGTTTGTCCGATTTCGTCGATGCGAAAACGGACAGAAGCTAGTGACGTGGCCTTGCAACTAATGCTAAACTGCACAAAGCCTGGTAAGGCTCGACACGCGCATGTGACATCGGTAGACCCTGTTTGAAAAGAAGCTTGCGACTGGGGCGGTTGGCCTGTAGAAGCTCAAGATGAGTCAAGAATCGCAGATGCCTTGTAAGTTCATATGACTTATCGACGCAACCGACAAGCACCGATGACAGAACCTGCAAAGAACCACAAAACTGCAGCAAGAAATCGTTGAAGATCGAGAAAAGACGAAACCCGAATGAGATTTCGGACATAGGAACAAGGAACATGGGGTGGACACGCTGCAGAAACTGGCCCTTCCGCTTAAAACTCCGGTCAGCAGGGCTACCTCCTGCTCAGAACCGTGCGGTGCGTGAAAGTACCCCCGCAGGTGTCTGAAGCCTTTCTGGATTGCATCCAGCTTCTTGTTGGCATCAATGAAGCTCGCGAGAAGGTTCTCGATCTCTGACACCTTGCTTCGCAGACAAAAGCAGAACACCTGGAGGGAAGCCACAAGTGCAAATCATCTTGCCACAGTGTTGAATGGGAATTGGGCATCCAGAACGTTCGGATTTTCGGCAACGGACTCCATTGTAGTTCGCCAAAGGATGTTGACCTGCTTGTCCATTCAGCTGACTCGGACATGCCTTCTCCAGCGCACGGAAACCGGAAGCCTGTTGGAAACGTTTGGCTTCACTGGGAAGCTGCTTCTGGATGTCATCTGAACTGAAGATCGGCCTCGGAGAGAGAAGAGCCAGAGCGAAGTCTTCAAGGGACTAAAGGAGAGACCCTTAAAGGGACCCTTGGGGTTATATAGGGGCTTTATGAGACTATATCAGGGGTATATTAGGGTTATACGGGGTATTAGGATTAGGGGGTCCCTTCTAGGGGTCCCTCCTATTGTCCCTTAAAGTCTGAAGGGCGCAGCATGCCATCTCTATCAACTGCTAAGCGCCGTTCTCCAGGTACAGCCATGAACGCTGCATCGCCAGCCACTGCTCCAGAAGGTCTTGGATGTAAGTGAGCTTCAACAGCCAATCCTGCCATTAGAAGGGTGAACTAAACCGCCATGCCACCCGGATTTCTTGTCAAGCTGAGACCATGCATGGTATAGCTGGATGTCATCATACTGGAGGCTTGCCAACCCCATCTGTCCTTCACTTCTTTCTCGATCGGCTCCACCTCGCAGTCACAAGGCTCTGTCAAGACTATTATATTATATTATATTAGACCTTTCTGGCCCTTTTTACCATCTCCACGAGTGTGGAGTTTGCCACTTCTGCGCTTCTGGGAGCCAGACGAAAGGCGAGCCACGAATGCCCATTGATTTGACAATGTGGTCATCGAGCACAGCCTGCACAACCAGCACTGCAGGGCATGGGCCCTTTGCCCTAGAAAGATCGGTCAAGGACTTTCCTGTGGTCGACTCTAAGTATGTACAAGTATGAAGCCAATGTGCCCGTCAACCTACCCAGCAGCAGCACACTTAGCTGGCAGAACCGTCTGAAGGAGCCTGGATCTCATCGATTCCTCTGACCATATGGGTGCCCGCTCTGTGTGGAACAAGGCCAAATTCGATTGGACGCCACCTGAGCGGGAAACAAAGACTTCAGAGGGCACAAAAGAGCCGAGACGGGAGCCCTCTGTCGAGACTCGAGACTCAGGGCTTGGCTCTTTCTTCATGGTGGCCAAGGCCGTCTTGAGGCCGTGTTCCTTTTGCGCCTGGCAACATGAGCCCGTGAAGCGTCGCTGTCTGAAGGCCAGCACGTCTTGGTCACCAAGGACAGTAACTGAGTGTCTGCTTGCCTTGACGCTGATCCGTTCCAGGGTGTCGATGTGGTCCAGGATGCCAATTTCCAGCATTTGTTGCAAGGTAATGCCATCCTGCTCACATGCTTTCCATACGACATACACCACTTGAACCAACCGGATGACCATGTGGATGAAGAGGACGGCACGATGGGCATGATCACACTCAACCCAGCTTCATGGCTAGAGCAACCTGTGACTCTCTCTGACTTGGATAAACCGACTATCGACTGCGGAATGCCACGCCCCTAAACCCTAAACCCGGCACCTCCATGTCCATGTCCATCCGCAGCTCTTCGAAGAGATCCGAGAAGTGTCGTGGCTCAAAGGCCTGAACAAGCGAACGCCATAAGAAAGTTCTTATTATTATTTCTATTATTACTACTACTATTACTCTTATTATTATTACTACTATTATTAATACTATCATCACTATTATTACTACTATTACGCGAAAAATCGAAAAGTCAAAAAGTCAAGAAAGTCAGTCACCGCAGCAGAAGCCGAAATAACAACAATCGGCACACATCTGAAGCATCTTGGCACAGCTTTGGTCCGCAGAGAGCAAAGGCA